TTATTTAATGCTTTATAATCAGATATTCACAATAAGTTGCCATTGCAATAGTTTGTTTTTATCCTACAGATGAAATCAATTTGTTGATTATAAAATTCATAAAATGTAAGGCAAGATATTCTGTGTATTGCTGGCTTTATTCAGTGAGAAATATTGTTGGTGCATTTGTAGTATATATCTGGTATATTAGTATCAGCAATTACTTCAGTATGTATCATTTCAGTTGTTATATAACCATATCCTCATCATTGTCCAGGCTGTCTGATGCCACAGGGTCCTTGAGCTTCACACTAGAAAAGTCAGGTGTCATTAAAAAGTCTGATTTTGATACCAAGGTAAAAAAAACAATATACAATACCACTTGAAAACATCAAAATTGTGACATTAAAATGTAATTTAGATTTTATTCCATCATTTTTTATATTTCAATGATACAAGGAGTATCTCTTTATATTCCTAATTTGAATAAGTCCATTTACAATTGTTTTCTACAGGATGTTTTTATATTAGATACAAAATCTGAAGTGTTTGTATGGATTGGAAAGGAAACGTCAGAGTCAGAGAAAAAAAAAGCTTTGGTTTATGCACATGTAAGTAAAACAAATCCTCAATGCCCATGATCCCACTCTTGGGAGAGTACACACAATTATTGACACTCTGACCCTGGGAGACTATACACAATTATTGACACTCTGACTCTAAGAGAGTTCACAAAAAATGTTCAATAATTTGTGATCCTTATTGAACTTCACTAAAGCCTTTGACAAGTTGCTAATAGTAGGGCCTACTTGGGAATGTGAAGAGCACAAAATTTAAATTATATGTAATACTTTTTATTTTCTAGTAGTGTGGTCTTGTAAATAAATGGTGCATATTTTATGAAAAACTGCTTTGCTTCCATCCTAAGATGATAAAAAAATAAGATGTTAGCCAGAGAAAAATGATCATCACATCTTTTAATTTCTATTGTAAATGTTAGGGTTGAAATTCTGGATATGAGATTAAGAACAATTTAGTGCTACCACAAACAATTAATCAGGAAGGGAATGTATGACAGTAACAATAAAATTGCGAAATTTGCTTTAGAATTGATAACTGATAAAATTTTGAGTGCTTAAAACTACCTGTAATCGTTACGTGCATCAGAGACTTAAATATAATCTAACATTAGCACTTGCATAATTAATTCATTTTTAAAAAATTAACGGGAGAAAATAAGGTAAAACACAACAGCCTGTTTTGTTAAAGCATTTTATAAAAGTGCACAAATTTATTGTTGACTTCATAGCTATAAATTCCACAAATTTTGTAGAGCTCATAAAATATTCTTTGGTGACAGCTGTGACTGTTACTCATACAGAACATAATATAATTTTTATCCCTTACCAGTACTAAATAAAATTATATTGCTATGTAAATAATTTCTTTTCTATGCTAAGCCTAAAAAGTTGTATTTAAAAATAATTACTCGTATAGCGAGAGGTGGGAAACCTTTTCATGTTATAGGGAATAATTCATTTATTTTTAATCAAATAAAGCAGCATTCAAGAAAGTCAAATTAAATATACCAGTACACACAAATGTATGAATATTATTTTGTAAATGAAAACTATTTTTTAATTGTAAAAACACACTTAAAGGTTATTAAAATAATCTCGTAATTTATTTTTTATGGCTAATGAATGGAAAGTTTATAAAAAAATTTAAAAAAGGATTTTTGGGGTAAAATTTGAAAAAAGGCTGCACTTGAAGACCTGGCTGCAGGTTCCCCACCCTTAGTCTAGTGTCATATAAACAATTGTATATTAGGCCTGTGCCCTTAAACCTTGAAATAGCCTATATTTATAAGTTTATAAAGGCACCATGTTAATAACTTTTATAAAAAGTGTTGGACTGCAATAAAGCTTTAAAATATTGTAGTTACTGGTATACTCTATACTAGTAACACTGCAGATAGAATCTATATGGAGAACAAATTAATAACTAGATTTGGTACGTTGTCTCCATATGGATTGAACCAAATCCATAGTTTTACTTAGCTGCCATGTCTTTTTCCTGTTTGGTTTTTCCAATTATGTTTGAATCACTTCCTTTCTACATCTCTTTACTTTGTTTTTGTCAGGTTTAAGCGCCCTCTCCTATATATTTTTTCTGTTTTAGGTAGGATATATATATTGACATTATGTAAATTTAATTTATACTTATTTAAATGTGTTGTGTTTGTTTGTACTGATGAAGGCATGTGCCGAAACGTTTAATTCTGTATAATGTACAATTATTATTAAAGCTAACTCATATTGTTCTATTGACACAATTTGTTCGTGTCTTATTAATATAATAACTTTTAAACTGTTCTTAAATTATAAACCAATTACAAATGTTTTTTTCCTCAAGCTTAACCATGGAGATGGTTCTATCATGTTTACTAGTTATTGCAATAAATTTAAAATAAATAAAAACTTTATTTCAGTCATATCTTCAGAAAACTGACCATCCCTTGGTGCCTGTGAGTTGTCTTGCCGAAGGACGGAAAGTCAAGTCTTTCGAGGCTGCAATAGCAGCATAGAACTATCTGGCTTGCTTCTTGAATGAAACTGATGTAAAATCCTAATCAGTCAAGACCTGAGAAAATCACCATTCAGTCAAGACCTATATAAATCCACATTCAGTCAAGACCTATATAAATCCACATTCAGTCAAGACCTATATAAATCCACATTCAGTCAAGACCTATATAAATCCACATTCAGTCAAGACCTATATTATCTTTGTGCTGTCAAGATGAAATATAACATAATATTTGTCTCACAATTCTGATTTGAGTGCACATTAATAGTAACATGCCTTGAAGACAGAAGATGGTAATGTTATGAGTTAATTCTCTTCCATTTCAATGTGCAACTAAACAGTTTACCTTTTTCATCTTAATAGTAATAAAGGCCTATAGCCATGAAAACTGAAACTTTAAAATTAAATGAATAAACTCTATATAATAATGGAGACTGTTCTTTTGATATTTGAAGGTAAAATATTGAAATCAAGAATTTAAAAAATGTATTCAAATTTTTTTGTTCAGAATTATGATAGATATTCAATTTATTTAAACAAGTATTGCAGTTGCATAGTTGCATTGTGTACTTGATCACTTACATGTCAACAATGAATAATTTTTTAAAGCAAAATTTCCTCTACTGTTTATTCAATAATAACTGGTTTCTCCGCACACATTTTCATGAGCTTGATGTTTTGTACTGTAGTCCTTCAAGTATAGGAATGCTTTGTAGGGTTTGTAAAGACCCTTTTGTTTTGTTGAAGCCAACCTCTTGTTATTTGATATGTTGACTTCCCACAGCATTTAATTTGTTTTCTTTTTTTATTTTATTTTAATTTCCTAAAAAATGAACATTAATTGATATGAAATCAGAACAATAGAATTTCTATTAACAAAAAAAAAAATCCTTTCTATTTTTTGCCCGCTCTAAACTTTTTACAATTTTAAATTAATTTATTTGTGTTCAAATAATTTTACTCTGCTGAATGTTATCAGTACTTCTTTATTACTTAAGGCTATAATGTTGTATCAACTAAAACAAGATGCTAATTTAAAAAATTATAATCAAATGAAATTATATTTTGACATTTGTTCATGTTCAGTGTAAATACGGTTTATAATTTTTGGTTTAATTTTTTTCTCCAAGTTTGGACTTGTATCTCATAAATTCCAATCATATGTGAACTGAACACCTCATCATGCAAATCCTATGTCACACAATCTTAAATTACATCTAAAGTTTCAGAGGTCTCGCTACATTTATTTTAACACTTTTTTTCAAATCCAATCATGTCTGTAAACAAATTTACAAGGAATATAGCTCAAAATTTCCGACATCTGTGATGATGAGGCAGTGTCCAGTGGCATTCCATTTTGTTCATCATTCAAAGTTGTTAGCATAAAACTCTGCAGGCACATAGGTTTTCTTTTTGTTGAATGTTATAATTATATATATGTGTATGTAATGTGATATATAATTAAAGCAATTATTATGTACTATCTGCGGCAATCTAACTAGGGGATCGGCAACCTAACCAGGTGATCATCAATCTAACCAGGTGATCAGCAATCTAACCAGGTGATCCAGTGCTAAACTGGGGAAGCAGTGAATTAGAGCTCATCTTGGTGTGCAAAGAGAGCAGGTCAGACAATATCCACACAGGAATTCTGTCCTCAGATTGTTTGGCTATCTAATCTCTGAATTTTTTTTATCAACAAGCTTTAGCAGTGTTTGGTTATTTTGTGATTAAAAAAAAAAGAAATTCATTAAGTAATTTAGCAAGTAATCTAGCAAGTTTTAGTTTTATTTAAAAAATATTTGCTTTAAAATTTCAATGTTTATATTTTATAATCCACTGTTTTTTAAAAATTCTGTTTGAGAATATACCTGCAGCCTTTTCTTATTCATTCAAAGCTATCACATTATAAGCTGATCAAACAATTTATCGTTTTTCCTTGATTCTTTAATGACCACCATTAAGCCTATACAATATGCACTGATAAAGGCTATGATGATACAAAAATGAAGTACAAAATCTTTGTAAAGACGCATAAAACAACCGTTAAATGGTGTAAATCAAGACTAGATTTAAATAAAAAAAACTTTACATTTTAGCTATTACATCACTAGTATTCTCATTCACTTGAAGAATCAAAAGCCTAATAATAATAACATTTCTATTGTTACTATTACATTAAAATAAATCAACTGATATCATGTTCAGATATGATTGATTTTCTTATAAGCAACAAATCTCCCAAAACTCAAGAGATTGCACAATTCTATGAACAACCGATACCACTACAGTTTGCACTATGTACACAACTAAATGAATTATTTATAAGTAGTTAAAGTCTCTACTCTTTACATTTTTGCAACCAGGAATAAAATATACATGCAATAAACCTTGAATTGGTAAAAATAAATAAAATACAATCTTAAAGTTTCACTGAGTGCAAAATACATTTTCCTTACAAAAATTAGTTCAGACAATGCTTCACTGGCCTAGAATACAGGTACCAGTTACTTTTGATAAATGATAAACAAAAATATAATAATAAAAGCCAGAGGCCACATGTAACAACAGGACAAACAATTTATAGCAGTTTAGCTTTCCTTTTAAACCCTCGAAACTAAAAAATGCAAGAAAACCTCCGTAACAAAAGAATTGAGATTTTAAAAAAAAGTTAAATTGCTGCCGGCCGTAAGGCATGTAATAAAAAGGCACATACGTATGATGAAATATGGCATGAGATTATAAAACAGTTGATTACATAAATTTATAACCATACTTGAAATATTGCATATTTATGACTTGACTGACCGCTGCAAAGCTGGAATTCATTTAATTAAATTAAAAATAAACACAGGGTCCTATCAAAGTTCATCCTTCTCCTCTTTCAATGAATCGCTCCCAGCTTTGGAACTTTCTGACAAAGTGTATAAAATTCTCCGAGCTTCCAAGAATGCTGGATGGTTCCGCACATGGTCGGCGGCTGTGTAAATTAATCTCATAAATTCGTTGACGTCAAATGCATAATTTGTAAACTTGGCATGAGCTCCAAGAGTTGGATGATGTCCCTGTTGGCAGGGACAAGTAAAATGTTATTTGTGACAACTATAAAATCACAGTAACAAATATATGCTATACACTCACAGAACAAATATATGCTATACACTCACAGTAACAAATACATGCTATACACTGACATTTGCAAACATATGCTGTCATATATCCTATATATGCACAGTAACCGATATGTGTTAGGAATCTATAGAAGAATTATCCCAAGATCATCCATATAGTCTAACAATAATGTGAAGTTTTATTGGCTTTATTTATTATTTTCTCTAGCTTGGTGGTTCTCAAACTGTGCTCTGCCATGGCATGGGGAGCAGACAACGTAAAATATTAAATAATTTTGTTTGTTGAAAATCTGTCAATAACAAGTTAAATTTAAAAACCTAATATGAATGGAAACTATTTAAAAATTAGTCTTGACAAGATTTCAACCGCCCCAAAAACATTCTTTTTATCTCTCATAATGGCACTTGCCTCATCTTCTTGAACCATCTTGGACTTTTTCTCCCAAGTCATGTATTTTATTCCACGCAGTCGAGCCAAATCGTAATAGCACCCTGGGTCTTCACAATTGTAACTGAAGTTGATTTTTAAAGAATCCTTAGTGGTTGATTATTTCTTAATCCCAAATTATTCGATTGTTTTATCCTTTGCTGCCCATTTTTTCAGAGAATATTTAAGTTTAAGTATTTTTCACAGTTGCATGATTAGTTTAGATTTATTTAATTATTTTAACAACTTAAAGATGGCCGGGACAATAAATAAGAGCTTCTAAAAATGAACATCAGAATTAAGCAAGAAAGATATTACAGTTGATGACATTTCATTATATTTCAAGTTGTGACATGTATCATACAATGACATTTATAACATTTAAGATGAAATTCAACCTACAGGTCATGAAAAAAACCTCTAATTTTTTGTACACTCCGGCTATAATAAACTGACTCGCTATAACAAATTGCCTCCTGACTCCTATAATAAACTGACTCGCTATAACAAATTGCCTCCTGACTCCTATAATAAACTGACTCGCTATAACAAATTGCCTCCTGACTCCTATAATAAACTGACTCGCTATAACAAATTGCCTCCTGACTCCTATAATAAACTGACTCGCTATAACAAATTGCCTCCTGTCTCCTATAATAAACTGACTCGCTATAACAAATTGCCTCCTATAGTAAACTGACTGGCTGTAATAAACTGATCTGTCTGCTCAATTAATTCACTTACTGCAAATTCTTCTCATCCTTTTACTCTTGCAGATAGGGCTGACTCAAACATTCACTCACCCTATCGCCTCGAGTGTGCTGACAGGACTAACTCTGACATTCACTCACAAAGGTGTCTCAATTGTGTCAACACCGAAAAGGAAATCACTTATAAATTCAAAGCAATTTTCTTTCCAAACACCCACCATAAGATGTATTTACATCAGCAATAAGATGGTTAACTGGAAAGTATATTCCATATAAATCTTGGCTATCCCAATACATTACTAGTGCTGAAAGGTCAGAACTTCAAACAAAAGTGACAGGATAGGAATTGTTTACTTACATCTCCATGACAACCGCCCAGTCTGGCTGAAACAAGAGGTGGGTCAGGCCTGAACCATGCATACCAATGAAAATATCACTGTTATGGGAAATGCTCAGCTGTTGGTCAAAGGGAACATGTCTGTAAAAAAAAAAAAACACTTCATGAGAATATGACACACAAATCTTTGAAAATGGGGTTTTAGGCAAGTCATAATTGCAGAATATTAGCATGGGTGGGGATGGGTCCCGCGAGAAAGGGTGACTCAAACTCTGGTAAAAGTAATAGGGGGAATGAATAAGGGACAGGGGTGGGGGTAGGGATAAAGAGAGTGAAAGTGTGTATTAAGTGAAATTGTGATAACAAATTGAAAGTGGGGAGGGTATATGCAAAAGAAAGAATGTAGATAGATGGCAAGGGAAAGAAGAGTGTAAGGAAGGGAGTAATTAAGAGCTAGTCAGATTTTTCAGAAAAGCCATGAGTAAAATTAGCTTGCACATCTGTGTAAGTACTATAAAAAAAGTTAGGCATATTTTTATTTTTCAGATAAAAATACTTTTGAAAAACTACCTATTATAATCCACAACAGTCACTTCAAACTCTCCATCTATTTTCATGGCAGAGGCAAGCTGAAATATATCAAGATGGCAGTTCATAGCATTGATTTAATTTAGTCATATAACATAAAATAAATTGTACATACACAGCAAGATAGTGAATGTATCTTGTTTTTCATTAAATTTTCCTAAAATGGTCTGTTTTAGATAGCTAACTGTCGAACTGACTACAGTGACAGAATCAAGTCACCCACACCCCTAAAGATGCAGTACCGGTACAGCTCATTTTTAAGATTAATAATTTGTTTCCTAATATCACATTATAAAACAAAATATTTTGTTAGCTAATCATTGTTTTCACTACTAAATTCAATAGGTTCAATACAATGGTCAAAAACAATTTCTATCTTAAATTAATTAACCAGTAATAGGTTTGGACCCACCTCTTTTTGGTTTATAATGTTCCTATACTGCGTACTTCTTATTAGCAATGTGATACGAATTTTATCTTTCTGAAATGTAAACAATGAACACTGAATTTAAAGGAACTTTAAAAATCTTTTGCAAGATGAACTGTTAAACTTGATTATTTCTTTAAATTAGTTTTTATGAAGTATTGTATTTTCAACAAGAGAGTGTGATAGATGCTTACCATGGGCCCTAGTTGTGGGATGTTCAGTCTGTGAAGAATGTGTTGTGAAAAAGCTTTTATGAGACTGCTGCCATGACAGCCAGGAATCTAAAAGAGATTATTAATTTTTAAAATCTACTTACTAACCATGTAAGGAGTGGTGAGGAAAAAAACAACAAAGTTTTATATTTTTACAAAAAGGGAGGAGATTTATTAAAGTAAACTTAAATTTTCATAATTCTCAAAGACGATGTAAAAAAGAAAGCAGTATTAATTTAATTTGTTTAAAATTGGTCAGAAAACATTTTCTGTGCAGTGTAAAACATGTGCTAGCAGAAATGAGATTATGCACTAACCAAAGGCATGTTGTAAAAAAGACCAAAACGCATTCTGGCAAGAAGTGGAAAAACTGCATCTTTGATGCAAACCTGATAAAGAAATGGTGTAAACCAAATTTAAGTAATGATATATTAACAAAACATTTAGAGAATAACTTGGAAACATGTTTTTTTTTTTTTTACACGGACAAGTAAATACAGAGGTGATAAACATTGGGTTTAGTAATAGCTTTGCAGAAACACAGCAACTTGTAAAATAGATATTTATTTCTTTTTAACCAACAACATAAAGAAAATATTTTAAAAAATTAATTTATTATTTAATAGTATGAACTTTCTGAATTTATTCATATGAAAACTGGTGAATTATTTGATACACAAAAAACTCAAAGAAAGCTATGCTGTCATCTATTATCTCTTAATTACCCTTTTTCCATCAAAATCACTCAGTGGAATAATGGGATAATTTGTAAAAGCTTTCCAAGTTAGGCTAAACAAATCTCCATAAGGCAATGGACTCTGAAAATAGTAAAAATCTTTTAGTATCATTTAGAAAATTTGTGTTTATCTGATGTAAAATTACCTTTAAAATATGAAGTGACTCCAAAAAACAAAACATGGATAAATATAATCGTAACGATAAATATTGAAATAATTAGTTCTTGTTGGCTGACTGGTGCTTGAAATAGGGTCTAAGGATATCACTTCCGTCTATCTGCTGCTTCTGTCAGAGCTGTTTTTTTTCGTCTTCTGCAATTGTGCTTTCGTTGTGGTGCACATCTTAGTCATGTCATGAGGAATGCTTGCAGGCATTTCTCATCCCAGATCTTCATAAAAATAAACCTATTGATAAACAGCTGAGAACAGTTGTCTATAGTGGAAGTAAAGATGACTTAAAGATTTGAGCTATGATACATACCGTATCCCACATAATGATATTGACATCGGTCCCAAAGGAGTTATTGATATGCTGGGAGGCATAGAGGTTGACAAAATCACAGAAATGATGATACATATTAATACCTGTCAAGAGAAATTATTATTTCTTATGTCAAATCTTTTTAAATTTAAAACATTTTGCTAAAATTCTCAATCTTCATCAGCACATGAAAAAAATGAGTAAATACAAAATAATTGAAAGAACTTGTGTCATATCAGTTGGGTTACCTGCTGCCACATTATTTATACCAGGTACTTAATGTTGCTGCTTCACAATATAGCATTTTATAATTTCATAAAAAGAATGACTAAACGAAAATAAAAAATAAACTAATACACCAAACTGTGCCCCCTTATGCACATGTGGTTTAAGATATTCTACTTTTAGAGTTAAAGACATATTTGAAGTGCTTCTCAAAATTTGTTCTCCAAAATATGTCTTCGTTATTTAAATATTAGCAGTAATTAATTTATAGATTTAATCCCTAAGTTCCAGCCCACCAATTATTTTTTTAATGGTAGCGAATTTCGAGAGGCACTTCCACACATTGTAATAAAGAACACAAAAGCCAACTGCTTATGCTGACCATGCTCCATGCTTTCAAGTTGCCAAGAAATAGATTACCAGCATCAAGTTTTATCAGGTAAGTGGGTTTGTCTATAACAATATCACAGTGGCTGCCATCAGAAGGAATAAAATCCAAGGAGGTGTAATGCTCTAGCTCGGCAAACCTAAAAAATAAAAATATATTAAAATATATTACTGTGCATATGTTTCATGCAAACACAAGATTCAGAATTGATTATAAAAATGGAAAAATTCAAACAAAAAGAATTAATTGTCAATATTTATATATAATATATTTAAGATGAAAGATAATCTTAAGCTATTTATTTTTATTTAAATTAATACAAAATGGGTGAAATATTACAATTTCAAGGTCCCCCCCCCCCTTTTTATGAATAGTTCTATTAAATTAAAATTTCAAGGCTTACCTCCCCTTATGAATAGTTCTATTAAATTAAAAATAAAAACTGATGTCTACAGAGGTGCTCAATGGTGGTGCATATATTTTAAAAAGTTGAGCAATGGTGGGAAAAAGTTAAACTTAGACACAGAGGACAAAAATATTCATAAAATATTTTCTTTCTTTTTTTTTTTAATAACACGGCAGCCACTGGAGATCTGCTAAAAATGCCTGATATTTTGGAATGAAACATTATTAAATTTTACTGTGAAAAAGCTGACCCTGAATATCATGCATATCCTAAAATTTTCCTTTTCCTCATCCTCATTTCCCTTAGTCCTTAGACCGTTGGGGCGCCACAGATGACATGTGAACCATCCTCCTCCATTCGTCTATGTCTTCAGCACTACGCACTGCATCGCCCAGTGTTAGTCCTGTCCACTCTTTGATGTTATCCTCACACCTTTTTCTTTGTCTTCCTCTTCTTCTCCCTCCTCTTGTGGTGCCCTGCAATATTTCTTTGGCAAGCCCTTGTTTCCTTGTTACGGGGCCATACCATTGTAATTTGCGTTTTTTCAACGTCACCAGTAGGTCATCGTACTCCCCAATTGCCTGACGAACCCTTTCTTTCACTGTATCATTGGAGATATGATCCCTATAGCAGATGCCAAAAATGCTTCTGAAGCATCTCATCTCCATGGCCTTTATTTTCCTTTCAAGATCGGCTGTTAAATTTTGTTTTATCCTAAATCAGTATAAGAAATTTTGGCATGCAGTAGATAAAACTTATTGGTTGATTTTTCATAAGTTGTTTATTTATTTGCATAAATTAAGACTCACCAGGACTGCAGTGGACTTTTGTGCTCTCCTTCAGCTTTCAAACTTTTCTCATCAAGTTTGCAGTGACCCCCAACCTGTCCAGGCTTGAGGAAATCTTCACGGAAACGATTCCTGTGTTGAATTTTCAAATATAATAATATGATAATGCTTAATTTTTTTTAACATCAAATGATATAAAGTTGCTCCAAATATCTCTCCAAAGAATACTGGGATGAAAAACACTTAAACATATAAAAACTGATGTCCATTTGAAAATCTTTTGATGTTCCACGATATTACTTTATGGTCAATCAAAATGATTCAGTTAAAAGATAAGGGATGTGCTTTGGCCATGTTTTTTTTTTTGTTTTTTTTTTCCAATTCCAAATAAAGATTTAACGAACAATATGATTCTGCTTCTTTTTAAAAAAAAAAAAAATTGATTGAAAGGTGTTCTTTTAAAAATTATAATTTAGATTAAACAAAACTTACAATAAAAAAAAGTTTGAGTTTCTTTTGGGAAATGTGTAAGTCACAATAAGTATTTAGTAAATTTTGTTCTGATTATCTTATATTAATTTGATGAAAGTGAGATTTTATTTAACATCCCATTACAATCATATTGCATAACATTCATAGTGAATATTTTGAAATATTCCATAAGTTTGCCAACAAATTGTAAACTTTTTTATGCAAAATAATATCAGTGTTCAATTTTTACCCAAATGTGCTAAGGAACAAAAATATTACCGGTACTTTCAATGTTTCAGATTTTAAATTATAATCCAAGAATGCTAATAAAGATAGTATTGATTTCACATTTTATGACATAAAAAGTTTAAACTTTTAAAGCACACATTTATTGACATTTTACCATTCTCCTTGTTTCTTCATTTTAGCAGTGGAGAAGTCAAAGAAGATGTTTTTTGCCCGACAATATCTCAGATAATTGACACAGTCAAGACTAGAATCATCCTGGGGAAAAAAAGCATGACAATGATGTATATTTATCACAAATAGCTTATTTTTTAATTAAATAAATTAGTTGCAAAGTTTTAATGTTTCACAAAGTTAACAGTTTATTACAAACAGTTTATTATTATACAAACAATTACACAAAAATTACAATCGACTGGCTCTTGCAAAAAGCTCTTATTTCCTTTCTCCGCTCTAGAACCATTCCAAAGTCAGCAGTGGTCCAAAATTTCTCTAGCTGTTCTTCCTTACTCTTAGCCCTAAGGATGATTTTTATAAGAAAAAAACAAGCACAACAATTAACCAAAAAGGTTTCAAACATTGGACAAATTCAAATAGACAAGAAATGAAAAGAGATTCATTTAATCTAGTTTTGGTAATACAATATGTAAAACAATGCATTTAAGCAGATTTAAGAAATGAGGAGCAATGCGACCCAGTTAGGTAAACTATTATTGAAGCAAAAGACTTAAAAGAAACATATTTACTTATTGAAGGATTTAGGAGTGTCTGAGTGCGCTTAAAAGAGATAGGATGTAAGATTACTCCAGGGGATGAAAAACATGTCAACACAATATAATTTTGATTGAAGCAACAAGTAAAATATATCTCTTTGATCACACTCTTTTCACAGATGTATTGTTTAATACTTCCAGTAGTTTACATAAGCTAGTTGTGGCTGCTTTAATTAGTATCAAAGGACCATTTTAAAGTGTGTGTTTGAATGGGAATGTTTCTTATTGTTAAATCAATACACGTACAAAATCTTTAAATTAACCATAAAATTACCCCTTTAAATTGGATACAAGCTGTTGTGTAAAAAGAAAATGAAATGGTATAAGCCTGCTAGCACGAACACATCTAGTCGGGTCAATTTGGAACACAGGCTGATCCTGACTTATGGTACTTTGACACAACATGGGATGAATGTCATGTCTCTTATCACAGCTTGACCCTAGCTCTGCCCCTCCACGTCCTGACCTATCGCAGTGGACTTTTTTCTCCTCTTTTCTTTCGCTCTTCCCTATTTAATCTCTCCCTCACTTACTTTCTGTCACAATTCCTTTGCTGCCCACGGATACTACGTCCAAGCTAAGTGATATTTCTTATTTTATTTTTGTACCGTTTTTTTCTGCTGTTTTGTTCGCTGACGAAGGCTTTCTGCCGACACGTTCGTTGTTTTGTTGCTTTTCTTTTTTCAGGTTTAACCCTACTCTGTTTTACTCATTTTATATTGTGCTACCCTGATTGCAGTCTCTCCCCTTATTACCCTGAAAACTAATTCTATGTTATATTATAAAATGATAAAGGATATGAGTTAAAAACAGTAGACCAGTTTTTTCTATATGTTTTAATTGTGGTGTACCATGGAAATCTGGAAATGTTCTGGGTGTGCCATGACAGAAATTTTTTTGCAGATGATGGCTTAGAATATCTAGAAGACTGCAGAAAAAAGATGGAATAAAACATTCTTTAAAGATTAATGTGAAAGATGAGAGGTATTCACAGATTTAGAAGAATTTGTTTTAAAGTTTAGGTCCTGTTTTTTATTTTAGGATTAATGATTTTAAAGTAAATTACTGTATAGAGATAAATATTTTTTGGGGTTGAATTTTGGGCTTATTTGGCTAAACACTCTCACCAATGTTGACTATCACCAGAGCAATCGGGCTGACCCAGCTGATCACTTTTATCACACAATTTTTCATAACCCCAGCATCTTTTTGTATTGAGCATTGGCTGTAAAAAAAAAAAAAAGTCATTTTTATTAAACTTAAATTAATAAAGTTGTGACTCTATATTTCAAATAGACCAACCCATTAAATAAATTTACTTTTATTTGGGTGTAGTAAAAAAATAGCAACATAAAATTAAACTTACAAGAATATTAGAATTACCTATATTAAGTAATTCCAATGTCTAAACAATTTACACACTTTACCCTAAGTTAGAGGTTCTTAAACTTTTTGTGGCGCCATACTTCTTGATTTCAAAATATTGCCCCTACCTCAATCTTGCACCTCTGATATAAACCTGATTTTCTGGGTCTTTCCAAACATTTTGAATCCATCCCCCACGCCGAACCCGATTCATAACCCCTAAGGCTAACATAAATACAAATGGTTGTACTACCAAGATGATTTTTAACTGCTGCTGTTTTTGCTTACCTTGTAAGGACAATCATCATCACTGGAACATAGCCTATGCACTTCTGGATTATTATTTAAGAAATATGCCACATGCTCTTTTGGTAGATTAAGTGTGTTCCATTCATAAGCAAACAATTTAAAAATATTAAGGTGAAAGATGATGGAAACTATTGCCCACTTGAGCATCTTAAATGAGAACAATTGATATTTTGTATATGTGAACAATGTTAAAATAATTTAATATGTATAATTATATACAAATTATTACCGGGTACTTATTTTTTTTAATGTGATCTAGGCCTAAGAATTTCATACTAGAATAATAATCGTCAGTGAACTAGAATACTAATAAATAATTATAGTATTAAAACACTACTGGACTAAACATCATATTGTAAAACACAAATTAAAGCCAGGAAATCACCTAAATAAGTCACATGAGCAGAAGGGGGAGCCACGTGGGAAGGCCATTTTTTAATAGAAGTTATAAGTTAAATAAATAATGCAACAAATAGGTCTCTTATTAATAAAAATCAATAAATTTATTATATATATTCTTAAAAACAAATTCCTGACTTAATTATGTCATGATTAAGTAGAAGGTATGCAGTATGTAGCGAGATTCGCCATTGGAATTACCCTAACGCACAATATGAAAGAAATTACATTACCCCAGTCTTTTCCCAACATATCTCAACCTGTACCCCACACTCCCACTTTTTTTTATGTCAAAGGTTGTCGCTCTTAGCATTAGTTCCAGACATATGACCAGCATTATACTATTTGGCAAATGACAGATTTGTTTAATTTAATATGATCTTGACTTGAAATTCAACTTCAAGCTTCTTCTTCTATATCTTAAGGGCCCACGATCAATTTATTGATCATTTTGGCTCCTATGCATGTAGATGGGATTTGCAATGTTTCTGTTCCTGGTGTTGATGAGGAAATTTCACAGATTTCCAGTGCCACTTTGTGAGGGAATCATGCACTGGGGGTTTGAAGGCTTGAGGCAATAGACACAAATGTGTCTAGTGTTGTCGCCTCAACCGTTCCTTTTGAAAGATTGTTCCAGTCCCTGATTGTCTTGGGCAGGAATGAGCAGCTCCTATACTGGCTTCTTGCTGGTATGAGCCTGAATTGCCTGTCATGGCCTCGTCGCTGTCTATGGGGGAGAGGGACGAGTTTATGTTTAATACTGGAACAGTGGACCAGCCCATTATTTATCTTGTACATCATGGAGAGCCTGGATTGTCGTCGTCGTTTCTCCAATGGTGACCAGCCTAGTGTTTCTAGCATGCTGCCAACACTAGAGGTATTCCTGTAGCGGTTTAGGACAAAGCGTGCTGCTCGTCGCTGGACCGCCTCAAACCTGTCAATGCTCTTCTGGGTAAATGGGTCCCAGACTGAAGATGCATAATCTAAAATCGGACGGATAAAGGCTTTATATGCTCTTTCTTCCACACAGGAGTTGCCAATCTTTAGATTTTGCCTTAAGAACCCTAGGGTCTTGTTTGCTTGGTTACATACATTGTTCATATGCTCGTCCCAGCGGACCTCTCTTTGAATGGTAATGGTAACACCCAGGTACTTTACGTAGGAAACTTGCTCAAGTATATGGCAGTGCAGTTCGTATTGGTAGTGTAGCTTCTTGTTTTAATACTTGCATTTGCAATATGTTTTCAGTGTGTAATAAAAATCATGCAATGTGTTTTTTAAAGTCATTTGGAGATAATACTTTAGAATTAGAAGTCAAAAGTTATGGTGTTTAAATTATTAACAATTCAAATTATTTAAGAATGCTTATGTCTAGACTATGTGGCTATATTGAAAGACTAAACAGACACAGCTTTTACATTATATTAATTATAAGTACAGGTAATATAAGTTATAAGAATATAAATATAAAATTATAGGCCTAAAAATAGGCTTTTGTATGCATTTATTTTTATAATAAGATAATAAGCTGCCTGCAGTATTAAAAAAAATTGAATCATAGTGCAAGGCCAAACTAAATTATAAGATTTGATGCAGAGATCTGTTGATATATGATGAATCATAGGTCTATATATTTATATCAGTGATATGACAATGACTAATTTATATGAGTGCAGTTACAGCTAATGATATAATAGTAATAATAGGCCATACATAATGATACTATAGCCATTGGGTAGTCTATCATTCATATGTATAGGATACTATAGGCTATTAATAATTAATATTATAGTATAGTAATAGTCTTAAATTTAAATAGTCTATTTTACTACATAAATTATTATAAAACTAAGATAGTCTACAGAAGTACAAGGATTAGGATATGAAGACCTAATACCAATTAATTCAAAATTGAATTTAACTCCACAGTTACAACATTTACAATGAATACAATAAATGAACAGTCAGAGTCTAGCCCTTCTATGACCTATGACTATGATCTTAGGTACCTACTCAACTTAGTAACTTACTTAATATTTAATAATATCGGGGGGGGGGGGGGGGGGGGGTGGAGGTTGGCTATACTATGTAATAGCTTATTTACTTTAGACTTAGAATAGGAATCGGATTTGTATTTGAGTGAGCAAAGCTAGAATTTAAAATGCGTTCGTTTGCTTTTTTAAAAAAAAAAAATTATTTTTGTTGCTACGAATGGAAAGGTCAAAATGTCAATAAATATTAATTATCTCTACTAATTAATTGTATTCAAGTTAAAATGTTTATTAATTCCCTTGGGTTTTAATTTTTACATTGTGATGATTGTAATACGATTTTTAAAATAAATGCTCCTTAGTTAGGTTTCAACTTCAAGGCTGGAACTGGATTATGGGCGTGATAAATGGTAGGCTACTCGAGTTAGACTTCTTCTACTTTCGATTTCTTAGGAATATTTTTGTTATTTAAAGAAACAGTTTCTATTTCCGAATTGCGTGTGATGTTCTGCGCATGATGAAATCTCGCGAGAACTGGTATTCTTGATCCAATCAGGACATAGTCTCTTGCGTCTCTCTAAAATCTTGGGTCACAACCTCTGACCTTTATTTACAGACTGGGAGGACACAGCATATTTTGACAAAATAACTATAATTTATTTGTTTTAACGCATGTGGGGTAAGTTAATAGGATTGTTACATTTCTGTAGTACATTAAAAAGCTGCGACGGTAGAAATTCATACTATGGCTGATACCACATGTGATAAAGTAAATTAGGTTTGGGAGGCCGCCATTCCCAGTCTCAGTTCACTTTTAACTCTGCTCGCGCGTATAATTTTCTAACGGACTTCGGTTCCCCACTTCATTTTCGAATTTAATGGTCTGTAGGCTTTTTAAATATCATTAGACTGATTCGTTATATAATAAATACTGCGATATGGACATCTGTGGAACCATTAATGCCGGCTGAAAAGGCAGGAAGTGTTGCTATTTTGGCTAGTCGAGCCGAGGCCATTCGTAAACATAACCCCCTTCTTCGCCACATGGGTTTGGGTGCATGACCTTTAGAAGTTTGTATATCATTGACACACTTGATTTCACAACATAACATTTAAAAATGGTGTTCACAAGTTATAACTAAAATTAACCTCACATAATACATATTCTGGGCTTTACATTAATTTAATAACTGACTTCATCACCAGCCGTCTAGATTTTTTAGCCTCTCCCGATATTATCGATCTCCTTCAACCTTTGTCCTTTAGCTCACGGTCAGCAAAATAGATCTAGGTCGCCAGAATATTTTATGCAAATTTATCGGTCACTGAACTGTTGCGCTGTTTGTAAGGAACGATGAAATTTTGCCAGACCATGTCTTTTGAACCATACAACTGTCTTGAAATCTTAGTGTTAATTTTGGCTTAAAAAGTAGGGGAAATTAATTATACTTTCCTCAACTTCAACTATGCTATTGACTATACTATAACTATTATTGGTAAATTGATACACCTCTCATAATTCATATATATATATTCCCATAGCCCCCCCCCCTCTTTTTGCATCTATTTCGCTCTCCCACTCACTAGCAGACTGTCTGAAATCGTCATTTCCATGGGCATGACTGCCTTGACATATTTAGACCGCTTTATGACTTTAAATGGGGACAGCCTCAATGCCTTTATTAAAATAACTAAAATATACAGTTATTGGTATTGGTAATAAGACCTTTGCTGCATTTACTGTAATAGGAATTATGTATTTGGGCATAATACTAATATTATATAATATATAGGGCCTACTTTTTATTTTATAAGCATAATCACTATTATAGTCCTTTGCCTTATTACTTAGCCCTACTCCTTACTAATATTTGGCTAGAATATTTGCTTTAAAACATTCATATAAGAAATGACTGCAGTTTCATTTCAACTATTGCCCATTGGTCCAATGGTCAATAGTTGAATGAATCATTGGTGTAATTAGTTAAACTGTAATCTTAAAAAATTGTAATGAATAAAGTTATTTATAAACAGTTCATTTTCGTATCCTGTAACTGTAACCATTTTCATTTTGGAAAATTTCTTGATTTATAATTTATTTAATTTTGCTTTTTCCTATGAGGCTAAAATTTAATTTTATAATAAATATGACAGATCTTTACAACAGTTTAAAATAACTATGATGTAAACTGTTAACAAAATGAAAATTGTGTCCTCTCACTTTGATATTCCAGTGTCTGTTAGAATATCATCTGTGAAATTGATTGGTCAGTGAAAATAGAAAGTTGTTGACTTAGCAAAAGGACCTTTAATAAATAAATTAAATGGCAAATCTAAAGGGGGAGATGGGGGTCACAAATTTGTGATGGGGGAATTTGTAATTTGACTATGGAGGATGATAGACAGGCAAAAAAAAAAATTGACAAAATAATGTGCCATAGTAAAAGAGACAGAAATTTTAATCACTAAAAGATGCACCATTTTAAAATGCAAACTGTAACTTACAGCATAAGCATTCCAAAAACACCAAGTTTATCTTTCTAGCTCATAAAGAAGTGGAGTTAATATTTTTTGTGTGCAATATTTAATTGCCTTTCACTTTCATGTTGCATTTAAAAGCACTATTTTGCTAATACCTTTTTTATTTAAAATTATAAGTTGCAAAATTTCAGGAGACACCAGTTACAATGCAATTACATATAAAAAATAGATAGTGAACATAGCTAAATCTGAAAATATTGATACATTTATTAAATGGATAGTATGTGTTCATTTTAAAGTATAGTATACCATGCCCTCTCCTTAAAAAAAGTTTTAAAAAATTTTTAAAAATAAAAAGAGTGACAGTGTTTTTTGTTTATCAGAATGCCCCTACCTTTTCATCATGTAAAATTTAATAATGTAATTTATTGCTTTACAGGCCTTTTGTTTATGGTGTGCAAGGGTTCCATATATCCACATGGCAACTTTGGAGGAGGGATCCTCTCTGGAAGCTAAGAAAGAAATCAACTCAGAAATTGATGCTGCCACAGCTGCTGTTATGGATGGTACAGAAATGATTCATGTTATGACCACAGGAAGTTCTGGCTCTGTGACACTACCAATCACTCTTACTCAAGGTGGTCTCATGTCTTTGGCCTCTCCAGGGCAAACTGTAAGTGGTTTTAATTACTTAATTAAATACTTGGTTAAAATTGCAATTTTCTTTTTTCTTTTGCTGTTTTTGTTGTTTTTTTTTTTTTTTTTTTTTGCAATGTGGAGATACGGTTTATACCAGAGGTACTTTTTAAATTGGATAGTTTAAACCAATTTTTTTTTCTTTTTTTTTTTTTTTTTTTTTTTTTTTTTTTTTTTTTTTTTTTTTTTTTTTTTTTTTTTTTGCAATGTGGAGATACGGTTTATACCAGAGGTACTTTTTAAACTGGATAGTTAAAACCAATTTTTGCTTGCATCAAATTTATATAGATCTAATTTTATTTTTCATGGACGTAATTATTAATAATCATTAATTTGATCAAGATTTTATATTTTGGTATGTGGTATCCTTCGAAGTATTAAAATTATTGTGAAGCATGGTGATTGCATCATTATCTTAATTTAACATTTGGTTAGTTCTTTTCAGAAAATACATCTTTAAAAATAATTGTTTTGGAAACACTTTTGGTTGGGGGTTTTCAAATTTTAAACATTATTTTAAGGGGATTATGACTTATCCTTGGCATCTAAGCAACATATTTTATATAGGACATATTATCCTTCAAATGATATCAAATACTAAGATGGAAACTATAAGTTTTTTTTAAAAATGTAAAAATTCAGGTCAAAGTGTGATATTTAAGAGCTGCTTATTTATTTTGAATAGTATGTTATGAAAAGCGACAAATGATTAAAATTAGGTCATCCTGCTTTTATGACTAATTGTAATTTTATACTTATTTTAGTTGCATCAACGACTCTAAAGAAATATTGTAGTATTTTTAATACAAAGACATTTTTAATTATTTTACCAGATAAATATAAATTTCACTTAATATTTTGATTGCAATTTGAATTTAGGAAAATAACATTTTATTAAAATTGTCTTTTAATTCATTGCTTTAAAAATTGACATAATAAAAGAATTTTGTTATAATGTAAAATAACCAATTTAATGCATATTTCTTTCTGACCTCAAAATTCAAATGTCACAGATGACTGACCAAGGCATCACTTATTTACTGCAGGGTGGCAGCATGTCAAATGGGAGCCAGGTTGTTATGACGGGTTCTGATTTAACCCTGCGTCTTGATAAAGGCAGCACACAAGTTGTTCAAGTGCCCACAAGCTCACTCACACAAGTGGACTGGGCATCCAAATTAAAAGTAAGGACTCCCTTGAATTGCATAAAAAGCTATCAAGAAGAAGTTACTAGTTTAAAGTGAAGGAAATAATAAACACTGTTTATTAAATTAGTATTCATATGTATTGATGATGTATATTCCTAGAGATATTTGTGTTTAAAGAATACAATTATTATATCCCCTCAGGAATTACAGCATGCTCAGCGACTTGAAAGGCTAAGAGAAGAACAAAGACAGGTGCAAGATCGAGTCACTCAAAAGATGCAGTTCGAACAGAAATATGAACCTTGTGTTGTCTGTGGGGACAGAGCCTCTGGTTAGTTTAACTAAATTTTCTCTGGATTAGGGATTTCCTTGGGTGCTCGCAACCCCAGGTGGTGTTAGTTAGCTTTTCAGGGGTTGCTTGGAAATTGATTTCTATGAGCAGAGGAGTCATTGATTTTTTTGTTTGTTAGTAATATGTTACAAGTTTATTTTGTAGGATCTACATTTTTCTTTGCAAGTCAACTTTAAAAATATAGAAATAAAGTAGAATATATAAAAGCCTGTTCTAGGTTATTTTAAAAGACAATTTAAATTGTGTATGATTTAAAAGTGTTAATTGAAAACCATAAATTATTTACAACTTTATGTTTTTATGTGGCTCCAACTAATACAAGTATAGTAGATATTTAAATGAGAATTTATGAATAAGAGTCTTCACTAACAGGGGAGATTTTCATTTTAAAAAGAAAAGACGTGTAGCTAATTGAAAACAATTGTTGAGATAAGATAATTTAGATATGAGTATGTACTATAATTTATTAAAATGTCAAAACTTTTAAAGCTTTACCAGATTAACCTCTGGGATGTTGGGGAAGTTAGCGAAAACAATTTTCCAAGTATTCTATGCCCTCCAAAAAATAGACTTGTCAAGTCAAGATAAAAGCTTGTTATAAAATTTTATAAAAACTTTTATATTAAACTACATAAAATTGAATATGTTTTTAAACAAAGTAAGGATTTTATTATTCTGCCAATTATGAATGATAGCTTGACACTGTAAGCTGTTTAACTTCCTGACATAATAAGTTATTAAACCTATATAACGGTAAAGTGCATTTGCTCAGTGGCGCCAAGCCATGTTAGCATTTCCATATGCTTATCTCAAGTCACAAAATACCATAAAAAAATAATTTAGAAACCCTTACAAAGTATACATTAATGAAAGTACATTGGATAAGGAATCATTCATGTGGTAATTTATATTAATTTTTTCATTCACTACCTTTGAATTTCTTTCATACAAAACAGAACTACAAGGGAGAAACATGAAATGAGTTGAATAAATAGCATAAATAAACAAATGTTTTTAGAATGACTCTTTAGGATCCAGTTTCTGTCTTTTCTGTTCAGTTTCCACCCTTACCCAAAGGAATTTGTCTTTAACAATACAACTAAGCTTAGGATTTAATTGTCAATATCTGACTCTTGTCACCCCTCTAGTGCAAATTCTGTCATTACTATCATGTGGAATACCTATGAAATAATTTTTGTTTTCATTTTGTTCCGTTTGATATAATTTGAAATAATTCCAATAAAGAAATTTGAGTTAATTTCACCATAATCAATTACAAAACAACCTCGATAAAAGCATGTTTACACATGACAAGATAAGACTTTTGAAATTGTACAATTTTAGGATAGAAATTTCTTTGGCTGACTTTTTGTATGCAGAATTTGTCCATGTTCATGTTAGAAACAGAAGTAAAAAACTAACTAATTTCTATATAGTGATTTCCCCTTTAATTAAGATTTTAGGAGCCAAATCTGGCCTTGACACCAAAGATCTACGTAATGACAGTTATAGGTTTAATAAAATTATCAACATGTACATGAAGATCCTGTGAGCTAATTTTGTTGTGTAATAATTCAGCCATGTCTCAATAATAATCTTGAAATTAAAAAAAATATTGACATCTAGCTTGTAATTTGGAAAGTTGGTGTAAAGTTTTTTCAATGCATGTTCTGACTCCACTACTCAGCTACAGACACTGACTTAAATTTCAGTTAGTAACCTGTATACAGGACCCAGTATATGCTCCCTTTTCTCTTCTGTTAACCAGTGTGGTGATTTTTTTTAATCCCCCATCTGTTTAAACTACAGGGCGACACTATGGAGCAATCAGTTGTGAGGGCTGCAAAGGTTTTTTCAAGCGCTCAATCAGGAAACAGTTAGGCTATGCATGCAGGGGTGCTAGGGATTGTCCTGTGACAAAACTACACCGCAATCGATGCCAGTACTGCAGACTTCAGAAATGTTTGGCAGTTGGCATGAGATCAGAATGTAAGTATAAGTAAATATGGCATTATATAACATTTTTATTTGTTCAACTGTTGATATAACATTATTACTTACAATAGCATAACATTGGTAGTGCACTTAAACGATAACAAAAAATCATTGTTTGTAAAAGTTTGTTAATTATTTTCCTCATTTGATGTGTTACTCTGATAAGGCTTGTTGCCTATAACTATAAATAATGGTGTATTGTGCATGTTTCAATTCAGCTGTACAGCAGGAGAGGAGGCCTAGTGATCAAAGGGACAAAGTGCCTGGTACAGTAGCGACATCCACACAGCGTATTTATATCAGGAAAGATTTCAACAGCCCTTCAGCTGCTATTCCCACATTCAGTCCCAAGGTTGTTTTGAAACCATATTTTCATTTTATTGTCTGTCCTTTTCCGTTTCTTGGTCAATGTAAATACAAATTAAAGAAAATTCTTGCAATACACCATCTCAAAGTATTCTATTTAATTACTGGCATAGTTGTGTTGTTTAAATGGTCATTATTCAAATAGTATTACTTATATTTTATATTTGCAGAGTTTGGATGATCCAAAGTACGGCAGTCTGCTAGCCAACTTACAAGAACGAGTTGTGCATACTGATCAAGGCATGGTTGTTCTCAGTTCACAAATGTCACCAAATTCTGCCATAAACACAGGTTGGTGATGTTTTTTTAAAAAAAAATTTGGCTTGGTAATGTAAGCTTGGCTGGGTTTTTAAACTTAATTTCATTAGGTGCATTGACATATACATTTTTTTTACATGCAGAACTTTGATGCACTGGAAAATAAAGGAAGAAATCTGTGGAAATATCTATTTAAACAAAATTATTAATATAGCTTTATCTGTTTTCTGGTGTAAATTCAATAATTACAGACCTGTTTACTCACGATTTTGGTGTACAATGTGTGATTTTGAGATATCATTTACGATTGTACGCCAAGACCTGTTAAGACTACATTCCAGTAGCTTTTCCGATTTAAAAAAAAGCTGTTAAAAAATACATTTTCTGTTGTTAGTTTTTACTTGCATTTGCATTCTAAATCCAGCAGTGAATGGATTGAGAAATAAGATTGGTTAGGCACTATTTATAATTATATTATATTTGTATTGAGAGGGGAATGGAGTGGTGTTGATTTAGGATATTTTGTGTACCGATGGGAATCTAAATATTTAAATCTATAAAATTAACACTGCCACATTTCAGTAATGCTAGTGGTGATGGTCATATTGTTGCTTTGTGTTTTCATAATGAATTTGCAAGACATGGCGACAGTAATATTAGCATAGTGACCCTCGTGACAATTTAAGTAAATCTGGGGCCATCTGAGAAGGGCTTTCGATTATTTAGATTTTGCATACACGTGCATATGGTGGGTCTGCGTATCATGTTAACATTTTTTTCAATATTTAGCCTGACCTGACACACAGAATGTCCATAAATAGCATATTTATATTTCAAATGCTGTAAAAATATCTAGAAATGTTCAGTAGGAACTATCGTAATGATGTCGTGTATTTAAAAAAAAAACTTTCTAGATATACTCAGTCGGTGCTAAGTAGTAAAGGTATTATAGTAATATTCATAATATGCCAATTCAGGTATAAAGTGGGGAAAAAAATTATGAAAATTTTGTAATATTTTGCAACTGCCCTGTGAGCACACAGCAGTAAGCCATATAGAAAATTTGGGTCATCAAAAATGTATGTGTGCAGGGGGGAGGGTGTTGAAACTTTTACTTTTTTGCGTACATACTATATAGATGGCCCCTCTTTGCATTTGTTTGCTTTGGGGGCTGTATGACTTAATTTTGTGACATAATTACCGTTGAACCTTGATGAATGTAGAAATGGAGAAAACTAGAGAATGTTTCTTCACTTTTCAGCGCAGCAACATTAGAGTTCGATATATTTAATAGTAATAGGATTGACTGTGCCTTTGAAATCAATTTTCAGAACAGCTGTAGGATTTTTTTAATACCCCCTCTTTCTGTTAAACATTAACAGTCTTTGGTAGTTATCAGCCTGCTGTAATATTTTGACGGGAAATATGCAGACTGGATGTTCTTAGTTTTAAAAAAAATTGGCTTTTCCTAAATAATAAATCTCAAGTTACTATTACTTGGTTGTTGTTTTTTTTTTTAATGACGCCCTAATTTAATTAATTCTTATTTTATTTTAAGCTGATGTGACTTTGAGTTTGAACAACATTAAATTTCCCCAGCAACTTTATTTTACCAGTGACAGACTGGGATAATGTGATCTGCATGTTTACATGAATATTAATTGATATCTATAGCAGATACACGTCTGCAAAACAAAGTGATCCCCATATTGCAATATAAATGACAGTCATCCATTTTTAACTTTAAGAAGTAACCATTTTTGGCGCCAGCATTACTTGATCCCACTAGACATGCGATGGGAGTAGTTATCGCAAACATTATATATACTTTTACCGTATATTTATTTTTTTACTATTAAACTACTGTATTGTATGATTTTTGAGATGGTATTGTACGATTTTAGGAGTAAAAAAGGTAAAACAGGTCTGTAATTACAATTACTTTAAAGATAGTTCTGAAATATTTTGTTCACTATATACATTTTGGAATACCTTATTTATCAGCCTCTAATAGCTAGAGACTATTATTCTAGCTCATATATTAATTTTAATATAGACATTTTAAAAGAAATTGTTGGACAGACTTTACTTTTCTAGAAGAATCCCATGTATTCTAATTATTTTTTATTTCAATTTTGCTTGCTTTATTTAGGTTATAGAATTATAATAACCCTTAGACTATATTTCACATCCAAATATTTTGTATTTAGATGAAAATTTTCACATAATTCAAGTCAAGTCTATTTTCACTTGAAAAATGAAACTTGAATCTTCTTAAAGACTGGTACATTACTGCATATTTTTTATATAAATACTTAATATTTGGTGCTTCTTTGTATATAGATGTTGTTAAGTGTATTTTATTTTGTTATCATGCTAAATCTATATTATAAACACATGAATCAGTGACTTTATTAAGATTTCCCTCAATAATTTAGGCATTGCCTTTTGGGTCAGTAATAGTTATAATACCTACCACAGTTTTTGGAATATATATTAATAGCAAATTTTATATCCTTTTCTGATTCATGTGTTGCCTCATAGTTGTATAGTATTTTTTTTTTTAGTTTCCTTTATTTTATTGTGTGCTTTTTTATTTAGATCTCACCACCTTAGCCAATGTTGTCAGCACAGTGAGCAATACTGAAGGTAATTTCCTGAAGCTAAAGATTTCCATTAGCCTGGAAAAGCTTTATTTCCCACTATAAGAAGAACCAAAAATTTTTTTTTACTCTCTGCGCTATTAGGATTTTAAAAAAATTATCCAATATTCCAAACTTAAATGATTCATTTTTAATCTTAAAAAAAAATGATTGGGGTGTTAATGATTTAAAAACTTACTTTTTTTGAACTTATAAAAGTATATCTTCATAGTAATACTTTGCAAATTAGTCAGAATTTTAATAATGTAAATGTTCAGTTTAAGTTGTGAATTATGAAATGAAAATGGACTACATCTATTAAATCTGAATAGTTGTAATACAGTTTTGTAAAGAAATTCAAGAAATATGTTATTATTTCCAGTGATGACAAACTTGGCGATAGAAGGTTTGTAAAAGTGGCTAAGTCTTTCTTAAAATACACCCCATGTACACGTTCTTAAAGCATTTTTAATGATCAAGTATTTTACAATTAAGCATCTGTTAAAGTATTCACTAAGTGAATTAGACTTTACTGTACCAATTCCACTCTTGTTCCCTCTAAACCCCGATCCCAATTGGTAAAAAAACATATGTGCTCAACATTAAGCAAAGTAATATTTTTGTCTAATAAGATGTTTTTTGTGATATACTGGTTATCATTTTATTATTTACATAAAGAACACTGTCTCCCTGCCTGTTTAAAAAAGAAATTTGTTCATATCCCTGAAGTGTGATCAAAGCATGGTGAATTTAAATAAGAACATATTTATGTTCTTAGCTGGTAAAATGAAGTGCATCAATTATTTCTTTTATGAGAAATAGATTTTAGAATTGCCCTTTTGCACCTTGTATTTAAATCACATTTTTAAAAAGCATTTTTTTACAAATCAAGCACGGGAAATATTCAGAATTTATTACGTTTAAAATGCTTAAAGAGTAATTTCCTTAAAGAGTAATTTCCTTTCCATGTATTCTTATTTTAAAATTTAATTGTGATAATACCCCATGGGATCGCTAAATTCAACTCTATCTTTCTTTCTTTGAAATGAATTATTTGTTGACAAATGATATTAAATAAATCATTTCCTTGCATCTTCATTATCTATTATTTGAATTGTTTCAAAGCTCATCAATTTTAGTTCCTTAAATACTTAATCGTTTGTTGTCATAATTTGATTCAAACTGCAGCGAACTATTATGTGAAATATGCCTGGATATTTTCTTTCTTTATTTTTTTCTGATTCATGTGCTCATTGCTTGATTCGTCGCAGCTAATCCAACATGCTTTAAAAAAAACCCCCTCCTTTTCTGTTGTACGGGAAAGTTTCCTCTGTTGTAGTTTGCTAACCAATTCAATGTAGAAAATTCCTGCTTTTTATCTTTACCCATATTTAAAAACCAATTTTATTGTTTTTAAAAGACCATTAAAAGGTGTTATCTCAGGCTCACCTACGCATGAAGTTGTTAATTTTAAAAATGTCCTATTTCGTTCTCCAATTTTTCGTTGCCAAAAGGATCTGATGAAACTGAAAAGTGTTTATCATACGCTCCTGATTTTTTGCTTAGCTTTATGCATGAGAAGTATAATGCTGTAAAATTACCCGTACTATGTTCAGTTAAGGATCATTTATTCGGTCTATTTTACGACATTACTTTCATTGGTTGTTAACAGTCAAACTGAAAAGTACAAACACTCATACATTTTGAACTATACATCTTTAAAATTTTAATTATGTTTGTTTTGTACAGAAAGCATGAATTACAAATGGGTTCTGGAGAAAATAGTCAATATTCATTTGTCTGGTTAACATACAATTTTTCTTCTTTCTCTTTCAATAACAATATCAGGTTTTAAAAAAAGCAAAAAAAACTCTCCATGATCTATTATTTACACACAAAAACAACTTTTATTTAGTTTCTGTTCTGCTATGCTTGGTTTCACCCTTATTTGGGTTTTAGTTTTGACACCTTTATATTATCAGATCTGGCAACACTTGCAGATGTAGTGTGCACAGTCAACAACACAGAAGGTAAACTTTACATGTTGACAAATATTTGATGTTTTCTTGCTTATTGTAATCATGGTTTCCATATAGATTATATCTTATTTATTCATTGCCACATCTCTTTTTATATCTTTAAAAATTCAAAAATTTCTTTGTTGTCTATTAAATTTGCTATTGCTTTCAAGTTTAATTCACACTTAAGGATAGGTTTAGATGAATTATTTAATGTTATACCTGCTAACCACTAATTTAGGTACACAAGCAGATCAACCTATTTAATTTCTTTTGAATGATTGGTTCTTTGCTGAGAAATGTCATTACGTACTAGATTCATTTAAATTTATTTATTTTTTTTTTTTAAATTTACCATAAGGAATATTTTTTTGTTTTTGTGTATTAAGAAACTAAAACATTCAGGGTTCAGGTGATTTAAATCAACTAATCTAAATAATTGATTTTAATTTATTTTAATAGGAACCCTAAAAATCATGATTAAATATTTAAAAAATTGATTTCAAATACCGGTATATTTATTTAATTAATCTATTTAAATAGGCACTTTCTAAAAATAACTAAGTTTTAAAAATATTTTCAGTCACATATTTAATATCTTACTATTCAATGTGCGCCAGAAGTAACATAACTGAAATTTATATCATACTGGTGTTTTTCAGCGGTGCATTCCTCCAGTTGTCATGTGATCAGTGTTCTTAATTAAGATATATTGTGAATGTGTAGTCTCCTATCAAATTCACTTAGTGGTCTATCATAACCCCCTCTTCTGTTGACATAATACCTTTTCAAGATGGCGCAATCTTGTAATAATATGCTGCATCATTGTGTCACTTGATGCCATATTTTAAAACTCTTTCGGAATTGTTCTGTCACCATTTTTAAACTTGGTCCTCATTCGTGACCGCTTACATATAAGCAAAAATAAATGTAAACTAGGTATACCCATCTGAGTGACCCATTTCAAATACAATTGCCCTGTATACAGACCTGTTTACCCTCAAACTCTTAAAATTGCACAGTTTCATCACAAAATCGTTCAATGCATTATCTAAATAGTAAAAAATAAACATACAATATATATATAATGTGTACACTTCAAAATCGTACAGTGTACGTCAAGATCGTAAGAGTAAACAGTTCTGTATATATTTTCCTTTTGATTTCTGGAACATGTGGCTACTGGGAATTGTCACAGTTGAACATGTATACACAGAATTTTCACCACTGTTATATCAGTGCATGCTGTATAATTGTGAAAATTTGTAAAGATAAATTAAATTTTTATTCATTTTTAACTTCTTCGTTTTCAGAAATTGACTTTGGGTTGGGATGGTCAGAAAATATTTTTTTCGATTTAAATTATTAGTCTAAATCATAGGTGCTTAGGCGAAATCAAGCGACATTGGCAAATGACAACTTTATGATATTGATAATTATTTGAAAGTGTGAAATTGATTTGAAATTCTTATTCAAATAGATAGTATAGAGATTTAAATATATATGACTATCGTTGATTTATTTTTTGGTAACTTTTTTTATCTTTCATCATCAATTTTATTAGAGTACTTACTATACCCCGCCATACATTGGCTTACCTCCTTTCCCCTGCCTGGTACGTCAACCCCCTAAACTAAAACTTGTACTTTATTAACCTCTATTTGTATTGTTAGAATGTGTTGTCCAAAGCAACTCCAACATTATATATAAATTAATCAAAGTTTCTTCTTTTTCTCTTCAGATCTTTCCACTCTTGCCAGTGTAGTGACCACTCTGGCAACTATGGGCAAAGAGGAGGTAACTCTAGATGATTTGTCTAATCCCCAAACCGGTTCTCCCCCCCATAATAATGGAGATGCCAACCGTAGCACGCCAGACGCAGCTGCTAGAGCATTTGACAATTTAGCTAAAGCTGTGCAGAGTCCACAGAGCCAGGTGATATGAAGATAAGATACTCAATGATTATATGAAGACTATGCTCCGAGTACACTTCAGTAGTTTATGCCAAAACCTTTTTTTATCAGATTGTTTACATCTTTGGATGCAAGGTGATTATGAAGCATGTTAGAGCATAATTAAAATGAATCTCATGAAAACAGCTGGTTTGATTTGGTAAATCCTGTTGCTGCATTTATTTGTATTATTTTTGGTACCTAGAATTTTTTAGGATCAGGTGGAAAATTTCAAGAGAAACTTGACAAAAGTTAAGTTTTTGTTTCCTACCTGATCTAACCAATTAAGCTTTTAGTTTTTTTTTCAAACTTTTTTCCATCGACCGAATGCTGTTATTTAAGTTGGCATGTAGGTTCAAAGGATGTGTTTACTTCTGAATTTGAGTTGGACTTTTGAAGCTGGAGAATGCAACACCAAGATGATAGTGTTTGTGATCCGTGCAAACAGAGAATTATAAGACAAAGTCCCTCCCCGATTTGATTATGAAATTTTCCCATGCATTTTGTGATTAGTTGAACTTGTAAGATGGAGGAAAGATTGTCCAAGACTTAAATTGTTGATAGATTCAGAGACCATCATTGTTAATAAAAAAAATAGTGCATGCTAATTAAATTTAAATATAAATAACTATTTATGACTTTAATACATGTTAAAATTCATATTTTGATCCCCTTTGCCCTTTAGGTCCTTTTAATTTTTTTTAGAAATATCTGTATAAAGTAAAAACTGGTTGCTTTGTTTTTAGGGTATGGGAGTTCTTGACCAATCTTCACTGTCAGAAGCCAACTTTGACCAGTCAGGAAATAGTGATGGAGAGAATTCATTGCTAGTTGAAAATCAAGGTTTGTGTGAAATGTTACTGAAAAGTCTTTACATTTTTTTCTATTGCCTAGGATGCTGTGAGAATGGAGCTGAGATAATTATTTTTCTTTAGTGTGGCTTTATAGAAACGAAAGAATATGAACTTATGTATTGTAGCTAACATGATTTCAAGGAACATTCCTCTTAAGCTGCATCTTCTTCAGTAATAACTTGTGCTTATTTCTCAGGTCCTCTGTTATGTGAGGTAAATTTTACATTTACATTGACAACTCCATCCCCCATGCCCACATATCTCAATATCCACTACATTTGTGAAAGTGCTTCGCGGCTTCTCTTTCTCTCCATGCATTGGACGCGATCTGTCTCAGCTTTCCAGGAACTCAGGTACAAATTTCAGACTATTAGTTAAATTTATTTCTCCCTAATCTATCATATTTTAAACAAATTCAAACTTCCTATTAAATTCATATATGCGATGTGTAAACCATATTGTGTTATTTATATATTGTATACCTGTGCGTTAATAAATTAACCTTGCTGATATTGGTTACACAACTTGGTGTAAATTAGGGATCTATTTAAATTAAGTTGCCCGTCCATTTACAACCTATGCAAATGTAAAGTAAACTTTCTAATGGGAAGTGAAAAAATAAATGTGGTTTATTAACCAATTACTTGTTTTTAAGAATTTATTTACCAACACTACAGAGACTGACATAAAATAATTCTCCTATTTTTATCTTAAATTTTAAAAAGAAATGATGCTTACATTTTTTGAAGTTTTTTAAAATAAAATATATACTTTTGTTATCTTTTATTTTCATAAATGTGAAACTACCAGTCAAAGTTTTGTTTTTTATATATATATATATTTCAGTGCTGATCTTCAAACTGCTCTAGTTCGTTCTTGTTGGAGTGAACTTTTCACTTTAGGACTGGCTCAGTGCTCTGCAACAATGTGCCTGCCAACTATGCTGGCAGCCATCTTGAATCACTTGCAGGCTAGTCTGCAGAGGGGAAGTAAGTTTATTTTTAGGATAAATAACAAGATGAGATGTGATAGTAGGAAATTAGAATAGTCCTTTTTTTTTTTCATCCTTGCCTTGAATGTACTAGTATCCAAATTAGTATTTCTAAAGGTAAACAGGCAGGTTTAGAATTGATGGCACCAACAGAAATAAAATTATTGGCTTCCTTGAAGATAATTTTTATTTATTATTTAGAAAAAAGAGGATGGTAGAGTGTTTTGACAAAATATTACTATGTAAGTAACTTTTTTTTTTACCAGTTTTGCAGGCCTTTTAGTAAAAGTAATCTGATTAATTTGAATGCTCTCCTGAGAATTGTTTATTTCTTATATAAGCAGATCACAGCAATCAGGATAAGGTGAAAAGTGTCATAGAGCATATCATTCGACTGCAAGACTATGTCACACACACCCAAAGTCTTAACATTTCAGCACCCGAGTTTGCATATCTCAAAACTTTGGTGCTTTTTGCTCCAGGTAAAGTTTTGGATTTCTTAATGTTTAAAGAAATTTATTCATACTCAACATTTTATTGTCTTTGATTATATTCCATAAAACGCAACCTTTTAATAAAATCTCTTTGCTATTATGGTTAACTCTCTGTAGGCTGACGTTTTTTTTTCAATTTTGTTAAAAATCTTAAGGTGATTTTTAAAAATAATTGATTTCATCTGAAATAGTTCTGATCTGATCCGTTATATATATTAACTTCATCTTTGACTCAGCTATCATTAGATATTTTTTGTATATTTTATTTTCTTAGTTTTAAAAATTATTAAAATAATATTGTAGAATTTTTTTTTTCATTTTAAGCAAAATTTTGACAAAATTTTCACGGTATGAAGTGAAAAATAACTCCTTGTTATAAAAGGTTTAAAATGTATTTAAATAAATACTTCATCATCTAATACAAATCATAGTCAAACATTCTATATAAAAAAAAGTTGTCAATATTTTAGCAAAACCTAAATTTTGTAATTTTTTTCTAAAAATTAAAATTGTTTTACATGTAATATATTTTTAAAAATGGGCCTCATAACTTCTAGATTTGTATATTAAATATATTTCTGGATAATTCTTGAGTAAAAGATAACTTAGTAAAATTTAATGATTATATAAATAACTCAAAACAAAGAGTCAATGTTCTTGTTTTTAAAATGTTACCTTACCGGTATTCCCTGAGCTTAAAGTTAATAAAAATTAAAATGATTCAGTACAATACTGCTAATTTTGATATTAATGAACAATATGATCCATTTCTCACTAATCTGATCTATCTTTTCCCATATACCAATATTTTTATATATCTTTGTTATAATCCTCACATAACACAGGCCGACAAACTTAAGTATTCCTAAATTATATTTATAGACTCTGATCAAATATTTTGTCTTAAATCTAGTATGCATTATTGTTATATTTATAATAGATAAATAAGAGCATATACTGGACTTGATTTCCATAGAAGAATAGGTAACATTTTTCACCACAGAACATTAACTCAATAAAGAACCTGTGAAATGAAAATTTGATTGATTCATAACTAAAATTAACAATAATGGTACCAGTAATGGTTTGCTATCAGTAAGGGAAAAAATACCATTAATCCTAGCCCAAATGCATAAATTAGTATAAAAATAAATCCTTACCACCACTTGTTTTTAGGGTAAAATCTTCAAAGATATTCATTCTGTAACTCTGTAACACAGTAAAATGGTGGCGTCAATGCTTAATATTTAGGATGAATAAGGAATAAGTATAAGAGCTTCTTGATCCAATATCTGCATTTTTTTCTCTATCTCCTCCTTCCCATTAGAGTCATTGAGCTTTTAATAAAAATAGAAATGTTTCGTTTTTCATTCTGTCTTGTTGTAGTCTTTACTAATACTATTACTAATGATTAGAGATTATGATAATTAAATTTAAACACATTTCTACTATGCAATATTAGAAAATTTAGAAGATGATTCATAGCAGTTACATATTAAAAAGTCATATATTTAGGTAATAACTCAGAAGTCCTTAACATTTATTTTAATTACGCAATTTCTCATCGGCATTCCGCTATTTTTAGAAAATATTTATCTCGCATAGCTTATAGCCAAGCTATTTATTGATTATTATAAAATTGTTGAAACTCAGTAAAATTCAAATACTATCAATATGAGTATAAATGGATAATATATACTTCAGCCCATTAAAATTATAAAAATATCTGTTCATTGGTTATATTATGAATTTTAAAGTTGAGATAATGATAATTAAAATTAAGCTTACTTGTTTACGATAGCAAAAGTTGGTACTTTTATTTGTAAATCTGGATAAATTCCATGATCAGAGTCTCCATTTGAGTACATTTCTTTAGAAAAACAAATAACTCCCTGATAAATCATTAAGTTAAAATCATTTGACCATATTAATACAAGTAACTAATTGTTTTATGACCATAATAAAAAAAAATTTGTATGGAACTCTGCGAAGTTTTCAAGGGATGCTCCGGGCTGAATAAGTTTCCAAAAATAAATATGTTTTAATAGTAATTTCAAATTTTGTAATTTTAATTTTTTAAAAACTACTTTAACCAATGAAACAAATTATTAAAATATAATTGTTTTTTTTAAAAAATAAAATTTAAGTTAAAAAATAAATAAACCACCCTCATAGTCGGACTGTAGAGAGTTAAGATGAGAGAATATTGATGCAAAATGTGTTGCTTAAAATCTATGTTTTAAATTTTCTTACCTAAATCATCCCAATCTACTATACCTGTTGTCACCTCTTTAAGCTCACTGACCTATTTTATAATATCTGAAAGAGTGTCACACTTTCATATTTGGCAACAGATCCAGATTTTCCTAAAACATTTGGGGACCAAATTTTGTAGCCAGTTAAAAAGTTATTAACATCTGCCAAAAAATGTAAAAAAATTAAAAGTTTATCAGCTTGTGTTATAATTAGATGTACCTGTATTTTTTTACAGACAATCCAAATGTCAGAGACAAGCGGTTGATAACTTGCCTGCAGGAGAAGGCCCGCCGGGAACTGCTTCAGTCATGCTCATCTCCTGGCAGCTCAGAGCGTGTGTCACAGCTGCTGCTTCGTCTTATCCCACTCAAAACTTTTGTGCCTGCCATCATGGAGGAACTTTTTTTCTCAGCTCTGACAGGCTCTGTCCAGATTGACAATATTATTCCCTACATCCTGCGCATGGAAACGGCAGAATACAATCTGCAGATGACTGGTCAGACCGGTGCTGCAGCTGTGGCTGGAATAACTGGTGGGATTGGTGTCCCTGCCTTACATGACCCAAATGCTCCAAATCAACCCCCCAGTGTTCCTATTCTGCTTGAGTCTAGCCAGAACCAGGTGACGCTCAGCTCTTCAGGGGATGGGGGCAATAACTCCAGGGGATGTGGGGACCCCTCTTCCAACTCTACGCATAATACCAGTCTTGGTATAAGAGCCTCATTAATATCAGATGCCGGACAGGTTTTGACACTTTACACAGACTCGGGCAACACATCATCACCACAAAACTCCACGTCTGCCACGTGAGAAAGCTTTTTGACCTGGGTGTTGACAACCTAGAAATGCGTCTGAATGAAAGAAATGCCATTGACGGACAAGTCAAATACACACATATGTAATATATTCAATGTATTTGTTTCTGCTAGTGCACTTGCACACCCCACTCTGTTAGTAGCATATTGGCTACATCTCTACTGTGTAATGGTAATTGTTAATGCTGTGTTAGAGCAGGACGAGGGGATGGAGAACCATATTTCAATTGATTTGTGTGATGCATCTGCTTGTGTTCTGCTTGAAACTTATGTGATCCTGACAGTGATTCTTGCATACCGTCAAGTGGGAATTAGATTAACATTATCACCTTAAACTTTTGTGTTTGGTACTCATCCCATACAAAATGTGCCATTCTAGAACCAGTCTGCAGGATTTCAGCCCTGTGCGATCGCAACATTTTAATTTTAAGGCTGACTCATTAAAAGTCAAATTTTTAGATTGCTGTGAAAATGTATGGGTGAGATAGATATTTTTGATGTCACTAAAAGCACTTGCAAGTTGCCTACTCCTGTGGAGAGTTAATGAACAATTTCAGAATCATTTCTGACCAGGCTTAAGTAATAACTACTAAAATGTTAACTTCTGGAAAACTCTTCTCTTTGCCTTTTACCAGCTTCTTCTGACAATTTTAACAAATATTTTACATACCTTAATGATCACATGAGCCACAAGATGTCTGTGGAGCTCACCTGTGTCCTTGATCTCACCTTAATTTGGGACACCCAGCCATCTGTACAAGCCACACTGCACAATCATTCATACTTCTACAATCTGTGCACAGCTTAAAACGTTTTTCAAAAACATCACTGATTTTTTTTTTTTTCATTGTTAGCCTCATTTGTACCTACTACGCTGAATGTACTTTCCTTTGCCTCAATTATTATCAGTTAACTTGAGAGGTTTCAGTTTTTACAAATTGGGCTTTAGAAAAGTGGTTGCTAAGTTGTTGGCAGTTCCCATTGGTTCAAGAGATAAAACCATTCTTTAGGACATAGAGAAATGTGAACTTTTGTGTAACTTGAGATGCTGCAATTGTTTCTGATTTAGGATTATAAAAAACCGAAGCACATGGATGATGTATGCGTGCGTGGCTTTTCAATTAGAATATTTTTTTCACCATTAATATTTAAAATCTACATAATGTAACCCTTGGGTCTAAGTAAAGGCTGAGGGGCCCTCTCTTTCTTGCTGTTGTCTTTACATTGTTTAAATTTGTGTTTCCATTTAGTTTGCTGATATTTGGGTCTGGAGGCCTGGCATGACAACCTGCTTTTTTTGTTTCACTGTATATCTAAGTCTCTTTCAACATTCACCTTTATCTAATGTTAAGGCTTTGCTATAATTTTGATTTTTGTTCCATTGAAGTACATCTCCATCTGTGGTTTCTTGAATAGAATGTGACAGTGGGTTTCCTCTGTATATATACTAAGATGTGATAGCCAATTTTTGGTAGGGTTCTGCTTATTGGCTGGTTTCTGCAGGGTACCAGTTCAAAGTATTTGGGATTTATGGTCCCCTATGGCACTACATTGTCCTTGTCAGTAAAATTTTTATTTCACCACTCAAGAAAAATGTACTCTTATACTACCGCCAAAATTGTTTGATTTTTTTTATAAATCTCTGTTAAATATATGTGTCTGGACCAAAAGATTAGATCAGCTCATACATTAACAGGTGGAATACATTCTGAATAGATGGGATTTTAAGGGGGGGGGGGGTGTGAAGATGAATTAGGAAATATCTGCAACCGTGTTATGCCCTCGTTTTTTTTATTATCATATTAAATCATAATTTACTATTGCCAGCTGAACTCTATCTTAAGCTCTAAGCATTTTACTCTACAGATTGCTTTCCATTCCGTCATATGATGGTATGCTCGGACTTATAGAAACAGCAGTAATGGGGCTACGTTTTTGGAGTCCATTGAGAAAGATTTCTTTCATCAATAATTAAGAATTAGAATTATTCCATAATTTAATGTTAGCCAATAATACTTTCTGCTTATAGTCAAGAGCTGTTTTAATAAATATCAGTTGCTGACTTTTTTACTATGAGTGAGACCCATGGTCTCTTAATTTGTTAGTGCTGTTTGGGCTGGCAGTATCTGCAATGTAGTGGAATATTTATACAGTAATGTATATATTATATTCAATCTTCATATTATTATTATTTTGTTACATCACTCACTGCATGATCCATTTCAATTTTTAGTTTAAATCTGAGATGAAAAAAGTCTGATGATAATGCTGAGTCTCAATGTTAAAATTCATTTATTTGGTTTAGAGTAAGGGTTGGCAAACTTTTTCAGCTATTATCCTAAAAAAGTTATTTTTTATGATAACATTGCCCCAAATTTGAAAGAAGAATTTCATACTATTAAATTTAAACTGGTTTATTGAATATATTTATAGGGAGAATACAATTATAAATAATTAAGTACAAAATATTTGTTTTTATGTTCATTTGAGTGAAAAATCACTGTTCCCAAAGGTAGATAGTTGCACAAGGCAGCAACTTTTTGACAACCTCTGCATCTCTTGACATTTTCAGCACAAGCAGTAGTGTAACTAGGAATGAAAGGATGTACCACACCCGGGACATCCTTAGAGGGGACGATAACAAATTAAAAATTTTAAATATAGGCTTTCAATATAATGGGCCCTGATTACCCCCCTTGTCTAGTTTTACCCTATTTGGGGTAATTTACCCCAATAAAGTGGTAGGCATTTAAACATTTTATCATATATCATTCACATGACATTGCAAAAGAAAATGATAGTTAACTAAGTATATTAATACCAGTAACTGAAAATTCTCTATTTTCGTTGTCGGTGGTAATAGACAATATTGATACAAGTATAGAAAAGGGAGACTGGGTTTTTGTGAGAAAGCCAAACAGGATGTGCCATAGCTATGGAACAAAGCGGCTGGTTCTAGTATGGTCAGAATGTGTGGAGAGAATTGCGATTTCACAAGGGTATGGGCTAGCTTGCCTTTTTAAGATTTGTGTTCATTTATGTGCAAGATTGCTCCTCTTCTTTTAATCCACAGTATCTTATCAAATAAGTCAAATATTTTTTCATTGTATAGTAAATTTGTCACTCTCAAATGACATTTGCAGTATATTGTAATTATGTTTATATCTCTTCACTCTCTCTATATATATCTATACATATATATGACTAAACTGTTGTAATAAATTCTTTATTTATTTGTCAAAGCAGCACACACATGATACAAATTATTATTTGCTTTCTTTATTTATATGTACATATTCTCATAAGGCATATTATTACAGGACAATTTTCAATGATACAGTGTAATATGTTTCTTTCCAACATCGTGATTCTGTTGATTGAGAATGTTGTGGGGGAGCTTGTTGAACATTTTAATCTATTTTCAGCTATTAAACAATATTTTTTCTCACTGTTATATTTTTTCATTTACCACCATAGTTTTTTTTTGGTCAGTGGTTGCCAGGTTAAGGTCAGCAAACCTGCTAGTAGTCATTCAGCCTTTTAAAATAAACTTTGGCACTTCCAGAGAGACCATTAGTATAAGTACATAAACCACTTGTCAGGATTTTTTTTATAGCTTTTGATTTTTTTTTAAATTGTGACTTGTGTCCTTGCAGTAAGGCTAAAATAAAATAAGTCATCATACAATCAAAAAATGTTTTCGAGTTTCCTTAAAAAACGAAAAGAAAAATGTTTTCGACAGTTTTTGTGTGTCTTCTTTTAAATGAATTGTAGAGACTTTAAACTGAGAATATCTTTGGGTCTGTTGTTTGTATTGTAATACATATGTTAAATTTTTTAAAGAAAAGCATTTAAAAGAAATTTTATTTTTTATTTATTCTAAGTCCTGTGTCATATTGCTTGAGTGTAACATGACTTCCTAAATTAAAGTTGTTTTTAATTATTATTTATTTTTAATTAACGCCCCATCTGTCATTTTATTTGAAATGAGTGTTTTCTTCCTCCTTTTGAATTTGAATGAATAAGAATGGCCTGCTTTTACAAAATATTTCTCTTCTTGGTTTCTTTGATGACCATTGATAAAACTATCTCCACACCTTAACGCTCGCTGTTAAAATTGTATCCCACTTTGTCCAAACCAAGAAGTTAACATGACAACAGATGCCCTTACAAATAATTGGTATATTGTTATAGTGCTGACATGTACCTATGGATAGTTGACAAGAAGCCTATCTTTTTTAAACAGTTCAGGATGGACAGATGTTGATCCAAAATAAATTTCAATTTGTGAACTTACCGACAAGCTTAAGGTGCTTTATCCATGAGAGAGATTCTTACTAAATCAAATCCGGAGTTACAATAATTCAACATATTTCATTAAGATAAAAAGATTTTTAAATTTAATCTGCAACTTCTGGATATGAATTATACAATTTTTAAAAATAAAAAAAAAACAACATTGGAAATATGAGATGGGTAAACAGTTATTCACAGCTATGTACTTAACCAAAATATTAAAAAGATAAATAATTGTATGAAATTATTTGATATTAAAGGAGAAAAATGACTTGAAAGTAAGTAGTGCTCCATAAATGTTGTCACATTAAGATTTTAATCCTGTAATGATTGTTTGATTATGGTACACAACTAGTGGGGGAATGAGACGACATAATCTTAATGGTTTTTAGTTGTTATATTTTGTATAATCCAAGTTGCATGGTGTATGTATTATTGTAACTTGTAACGGTTAAAGTTTTCAGTGGCATTGTCTACGTTTTGAAAACTATTGAAAATGTTTGAGCCTAATGAGTTAAAATTAAAATTTGCTAGCTCCGAAACCTAAAAAAAAAAAAAAAATCAGGTACATATTGACACATAACTGAGTTACATTAAAGCTGCTTCAGACTACTAGTTAAATTAAATGTGGTGAAAAAAATCGTCAAAATTGATGTTTGATTTGAAAACTATTGAAAAAGTTTAAGCCAAAAGAGTTAAAATTAAAATTTGCTAACCCCGAAACATAAAAAAAAAAAAAAAAATCAGGTACATATTGACACATAACTGAGTTACATTAAAGCTGCTTCAGACTACTAGTTAAATTAAATGTGGTGAAAAAAATCGTCAAAATTGATGTTTGAAGGGTTTCCTTAAATTATTTTGATTGTCTTAGTTTTAAAGTGTAATGAGTTCCCCATGTTACAAGTTTTTAATTGTAAATTTTCATAAGATAAGATGTGTTCATTGGAACAAATTGTAAATCATTTAGAATTTTTTAAAAGATAAATTTATTATATGCATAGTCCATAATTGATTTAACCATTTTTCCTGTCATTAAATTGTTAAAAAAATTGTTTTAAGTTAACCAAATGGATTCGGTTTTTATACTGTGGCACATTACCTGGTATAACATTGTTGAACAGAAAGCTTTTTTTCACCAGAAAATAATTATACAATTGATATTATTAAATCTGTCAAAGATTTCCATACAGAGAGATAGGATTTGATTTCTGTAATATTCCTTTTGGAAACACTCTTTTTTTATTTTAACAATATTAAAGAAAAAATAATTTCACTTTAAAAACTGAAAAGAAAAGAGATACACCTGCAGAGAAAACAAAGCTTGGGATTAAAATTGAGTTAGCCAAAAATTGAAAGTTAAAAAAAAAAAAAATTTGCTGAAAAATATAATCTTATCCAATTGTTAAGTACATTTTTACGGCACTACCTTCATTTTAAATATTTTTATGAGCCAGCCATTTGCATATGACAGCCTATTTTCTGCAACTGGAATGAATATTCATAATGTGACAATAAGAACTCTATTTTAACCACTAGCTTCTGAAATCCAGTGATTACAGGCTACTGTCTTTATAGCAAACAGGAGAGTTACTGTTGTCATGTTCCAGGAATCTCACATTGTTTTTTTATTTCCCCCATGTTCTCTGATTTTTTAAAGCCTTCTTAAAGAAACTATGTCTACATAATATATTTACTGAAATGTGAAATGATGCTTTCCTGGTCTTTGAATATATTGGTCCCAAGCATTGTCAATTAAAATAACTCAAACCTTGATTATTGTTTCTGTTCATTTTCTGCTAGTGGTGCACAATGAGTGGATGTGCAGTAGAGTCATTCTAACACAATGACAATAGGTGCGATTTCATATGGGGAGTATTGCCAGTGTCTTTTTACCAAACCTAACCTTGTGGAGCTGGAAGGTAGAATCACCATTATTAAGTCTTGGAGGAAGCCTAAACACAAATGAACCAAGCTTTTGGAAATAAAACTTATAACCTTTGGTACAAACAGAGCAGTTATAATTATAATTCTATATGATGGGATTCATTAAGCCGGACATGAAGAATTCACATACCTGATGAGCAAAGGCAAATAAAATTAGTGCAGTTCGAAAAGGAGGCATATTTGAAATTTTTGCACGTGAAATGAAAAAATTCACTTAAGTCCAAGCGGCAGGAACTCAAGGACTTGCTCTAGAAATTAGATGAATTTTGAAGTACTTAACTTTGTGGTATTTTATTAAATTTTTTACGTTTAATTTTGCATAATTATCATGAGAATAAAAGAAAAAAATGGGCACTTAATTAAAATAATTGTAATAAAAGAAACTATTTAGATACAAGTATTCAGAGTATTTGATAAGAGTAAAAAGAATTATTCATGTTTTTTTTTTGTTGTAAATCAAGGCTTGCCATTTATTTG